ACTTACACAAATACCTTATATTTTGAGGTGGTTTTGAAAAGACATGATAAATTTGGATTAAATGACAAATAGTTAAAATTGAATGTATAATTCACGTTCAAACCTAACGCATGGCAGTTTTTCAAAAATCATCCCTCCAAGCTCCAAAAATCAAAGGAAAATTGAAAGAAAAAAAATCTTCCACAGATCAAGCACAAACAAGATCAAGGTTACTTTAATTGCCATTCTTCAAAATTTTCTTACCCGAATCTGGAAATACCCAAACAAAAATTACATAATTTTTATGTTTTGGATTTTTTGTTTAACTAGTTTCCCAATTATGTCATTTTGCATAGATTATGAAAACAACGACCGTAAATATCAATTTCGAGTTGAATAAACTCCCACTTGCAAATTCTAATAATCTTAGTGCATTATTTATCTCACTGTTCTTTGAAATTCGTCATTAGGTTTAGTTTGAACCTTATAATGTAAATTATTATGAAGTTTCTTTTTAATGGTTTTGCTAGTGTGATTAGAAAAGTATTTAATAATATTTTTGATTTTGAGAGGAAAATAGATTGAATTGATGCATATAAAAAAAGAAAACTTTGAATCAATTCAATTGATGCATGCAAGGTATTTGCAAAAATGAGAATGTAAAAAACTGACATTCTATCACTTTTATTTAAAAAAGTCACGGTATTTTATTGGAGCAATTAGCTAAATGCATACATGTGCGTTTTTGAAAATTTAAATATATGATTTCAAACCTTGTTTTTCATTAATACGTATGAAAAATCAACTTTGAATCAATTCAATTAATGAATGCAAGGTGTTTGGAAAAAGGAAAAAAAAAAAAGGCAGAGATTGTGAAAAAGTGACATAATGTCACTTTTATATTAAAAAATCACAGTATCTCATTGAAACAATTAGTTAGATGTATATGTGTGCGTTTTTGAAAATTTAATTATATGATTTCAAACCTTGTTTTATGTTAGTACATATAAAAAATTAACTTTAAATTAATTCAATTAATGCATGCAAGGTGTTTCCTCTTGTGGGCAACTTATAAAAATACATTTAAAATCATGAGCCTTATTATAAATCATATGGAAAGTTCTTTTTAAAGTAAAATATACTTTGTAAAAGTAAACTTTTTTTTTAAAATCAAAACGTGACATACAATGTCATCTTTTAATAAAAAAAAAGTGATAAACACAAATCAAATCTTAAAATAGATCTAGAGGTAATTGATTTTCTTCTAGATGTTGTCTCTTTGTAATTATGCTTCAATTATATTAACTAAACATAAAACAATACTTCATTTTAGGAACACAACAATCTATAA